TACATTATTTGGCCACATAATGGTGTCCATAATGTGTTGTGGACAAGATCTGACTGTTGATGTAAAAGTGTGAGATTTGAATTAAAGGTTGGATCCAATGTCACGTGTAATTATGGACACCATTATGTATAAAATTATGTAAATGTAGCACTTCCCAAATCAACATAATCTGCCCTCACAACGAAGGTGTCCAGACATAAACACGACGAAGATGGTAGCAAATAGCTCTTGAATTACGTTTTGGTTTGAGGTTTGTGTGTGCTCTAAGGATTTGGGATTTTGTGGAGTTTTATAATGTATTAATTACTTTGTTAAATGATTTAATTAATTAGCAAAGTATTAATCAATTTAGTTAATTTTTTATGGTATTGGGCCTAATCTATCCTTGATTAAAGGGAAAAATTTATGGATCTAAGTATTATTTTTGTCAAAATAAAAAATCAGGTGTTAAGTTTCAAAATTGCAAAAATCAGGTTTTAATTTATTTATTTATTTAATTGTAATATAATATAATTAACCACAACCCATCCCACCTCCACCACCCATACCCCCTACTGCTCCGGCGACAGTTCCGACGACCACTCTACTTCGATGACTATTCCGGCGAGTACTCCGGTGATCGTTCCGCCATCACTTAATTCCAACGACTGCTCTGATTCCGACAATTATTAAGGTCACAGTTATATACAATTTGGTCACATATATCTAATTAATTAGATAAAAATTAATTTTCAATCATAACTTATCAAATGATTGGTCACATATTATTTCGAGATCACAAATAAAAAAAATATTCGGGTCACAGTTGACGTCATTGGTCACTGATCAAAAAAATTATAGGTCACAAATGTTTAATTGTTCACAAGTTAAAAAAATTATAGATAACAGATGTCACATATTTTCAAATTTTTTGGTCACGGATTATCGAATTTTAAGGTCACAATTTAATAGCTAATATAGTCGATCACATACACACAAACACCCGTCCCCGATCCCAATC